AAGGTACTTCTTACATCTGAATTTTCTTAGGGCGATACAGTTTTGAACCCAGTTCTTAAAGACCTTTTTAAAAGTGGGAATGGTTTGAAGAGAAGGTGGGTGGTTGTGTGTTTCATTTCTATCAGCTCGGACTTCAGGACCCTCACCCTGATGCTGGAAGGATCTTGGTCATCTTGAATTGTTTATTTCACCTTCAATTCTTCTGTGACAGTCTTATTTATTAGCTTAATAAAGTGACTATTTTTTCCAAGGGAGATTGTAAAATACATACATTTTAAAAAAATATTTTATTGATTTTTTACAGAGAGGGAGGGAGAGGGATAGAGAGCTAGAAACATCAATAAGAGAGAAACATCTATCAGCTGCCTCTTGCACACCTCCTACTGGGGATGTGCCCGCAACCAAGGTACATCCCCTTGACTGGAATCGAACCTGGGACCCTTGAGTCCGCAAGCCGACACTCTATCCACTGAGCTAAACTGGTTAGGGAAAAATACATACATTTTAAATTGAATAGCACGTTTTTAAGAAGGGCACCTGAGGATAGGTGGCTATAAAACTTGCATACACTCTTGCCCCATATTGAGCATTCTTACCTTTGCAGTAAGCACCGTCTGTGGCTGCGTGTTCCCCGTGAATCTAATGAGAAGAGACGGGAGGGGTAGTGAGCCTCATCTTCCTCATTAGACAAGAACATCCTCTTGTCAAAGCAACCCAGGTGCAGGAGGCCCATGGGAGTTAGGCCCTAGCTTTTGCATCTATGACCACATTACTCATCATTACTGTTCACGGGGTGGTGTTTGTCAAAGCTTCCTTTGCGTTGCATGTGCAGCTCTGTGCCAGGCACTGTACGTGCAGGATCTCTTAATTTTTACAACCCTCTGAGGCAGGTACAGTTCCCACCTGGAATTCTCAGAGAAACGGAGGCCTAGGAGAGGTTGTATAGCTAATCCGGTGACGTAGAATTTAAACCAGGTCTTCCTTGAATTCACAGATTTACCTTGGTCACCGTGGGCATGCGATGAGCTCTAAAACCACAGAAGGCCCTGTGGGAACAAGGGTTAGGCTGGGTGGTTTCTGAAGCGCCCCCCGCCCCCCGCCTCC